GGGGGGGGGGGAGGACGACGCCAGGACACCTGCCCGGCTTCGCGGAGCGAGATCCCGTCCCGGACCAGGCAGGGGGTCGCCCTTCCCTCTGCGACCCCCCGGCCCGAGGACCCGCGTGACGGCGGCCTCCCGCGGGCGAAGCCTGGTACAAAGGAGCGAGGGGCAGTGCCAGTGCCTGGGCCTGGAGGGCCGGCGCGCCCGGCTGGGCCCCCGCGCAGCGGAGGTGCGTCTGCGCCCGCCCGTCTCCACAGCGCAGGGTGGAGAATCACTGAGCACCCAGCCCAGCCCAGTCTTGGGTCGGATCCCGGGAGTTGAGTGCTGGCAGTTTCCGATGCTGGATCTGGCTAAGAAGGTGCTGATCCACGGTAAGCGGGCAGATGTGTGTGTGTGTGTGTGTGTGTGTGTGTGACCTGAACTCGGGGCCTGATTGCTATCCCTGAGCTGTTGTGCTCAAGGCTAGTGCTTTACCACTTGAGCCACAGCTCCACTTCTGTGGTTAATTGGAGGTAAGAATTTCACAGACTTTCCAACGGGGTAGGACATGGGGGGGGGGGAGGGAGTGGTTGGTTGGCTTTAAAGGGCTATCATCAGATCTCAGCCTCCTGAGTAGCTAGGATTACACGTGTGAGCCAGCGCTGGGCTGGTGGAGGTTTTTTGTTTGTTTGTTTGTTTGTGTAGAAGCCTTTCACTTCCACTCTAATTGTCTTTTCACCACACCTCAGCCCCTTCCACCCTGTAAACCCAGGCTTCTGAAGATAAAGAATCCATTCATCAGCCAGGCTAGCTACTCAGGAGATCTTAGGATAGCGTTCAAAGCCAGCCCAGGCAGGGAAAGTCCATGAGATTCATCTCTAATCACCCACCAGAAAAACCAGAAGTGCTGCTGTGGCTCTAGTGGTAGAGCGCTAGCCTAGAGCTGAAGAGCTGAGGGACAGCTCCCAGGCCCAGAGTTCAAATCTCATGACCGACAAAGAAAAACAAACAAACAAAACCCCCCAAAACCCTGGAGCATGTGTTTCCCTGTCAATCACCCACTACTGGAAGCTTAACAGTCTAAGGGCTGTCCACTCTGTTCTCACATCCCCCACCCCCATGAAACTGATTACTTCTAAAAATCAGTTTACTTGAATTTGCACATCAAAATATGGCCATTTTAATTGTGCAGTTCAGTGAGATTTCGCTGCCCATTCCCCCCAATCTCTTAATCTTTTTTCCTGTGTTGAGGATTGAACCTAGGGCCTCCCATATGCTAGGCAAGTGTTCTACTGTTTGAGCTACATTGCCCCTAGCCATTTTGTTTTTGGGATAGGATCTCAAGACCTTTGCCCAGCTTAGCCTTGAACTCAAGACCCTCCAGCGTATATCTCCTGAGTAACTGGGATTATACAGCATATATCACCATGTACAGCATGTACCACCATGTGCTCACCAAGACCTTGTGCTTGCTAGGCAGGCACTCTAGCATTTGAGAACTGCATCCCCAACACTTTTCTTTCTTTCTTGGCTTTAGTTATTTTTTAGGTAGAATCTTGAGTCTAGGGAATAAGTAGAAGGGAGAGTGCCATCAAACCCTGGGCCTTTTGATGGTGAACCTTGATTGCAAATTTAATTGGACTGAGAATCAACTAGGAGATTATCGGAGAAGACCTCTGGGAACGTCTTTGAGGATGTTTGCAGAGATGGTTAGGCCAATAAAGGCTTTAATCTAATCAACAGATTAATCCTTTGATAGATTCATGATCTGATGGCCTTCTGGGAAGGTAGTGAAAGGCTGGGGTAGGGCCTAGTTGGAGGAAGGAGGTCACTGGAGGTGTGTCTTGGGCATCATGTCCAGCCCTGACCAATTCCTGTTTCCTCTTTTTCTGTCTTGCTTTCTGGCCTTCATGATGATACTCCGCTCTCTCATGCCCTCCTGCCATGATGGAGCCACATCTCTGAAATAAATAATATCCCCCTTTAAACTGTTTTCAAGTTTGCTGGTCACAGTGACACAAAAGTTACTAAACAGATTTTTTTTTTTGGGTCCAGGTGTGGGGCCTGAACTCTGGGCCTGGGCACTGTCCCTCAGCTCTTCAGCTCAAGGCTAGCGCTCTACCACTTGAGCCACAGTGCCACTTCTGGCTTTTTTCTTTTTGCTTATGTGGTGCTGAGGAATCGAACCCAGGGACTCAGGCATGCAAGGCAAGTGCTCTACCACTGAGCCACCTTCCCAGACCCACTAAACAGGTTTTGAATCCAGTCTTTCACTGTCCGTAGGCTGCAAGTAACCCATAGCAGAATAATTCTTGTCTGTAGCAATATAAATTGTCTGTCCCGTACTATGCAAGTGACTTTACCAATGTGTAAAAGTTTTGCTTTCTTTTGCATATTCATTTGAGATACTACTTTTCTGTTTATTTCTGCCTTTTAGTATCTTCTTTGAGCAGATTTGAATCCCCTCTTCCCAGTTTCTTCATTAATAAGTAGAGTCTACAGCATATGTTCATTTTTTTTTGGTAGTACTCAGGACCTTGCACTTGCTAGAAAGGTAGTTTACTGCTTTAGCTACACAGCCTCAGACCTTTTAAAAATTATCTTAGTTGTACAAAGGTGTATCAATTCAACCTATCAATTCATGAATACATCTTTGATCAATATTACCCCTGTCCTCCATTCAACCCTAACCCTTTAGCCCACCCCCCCTTTTTTTTTGGCATGGGGTTTGAACTCAGGGTCTGAGCACTGCCTCTGAACTCTTTCACTCAAGGCTAGCTCTCTACCACTGTGAGCCACAGTGCCACTTCCAGTTTTCTGGTGGTTTATTGGAGATAAGAGTCTCACAGACTTTGGGCTGGCTTTAAACCACAATCCACAGATCTCAGCCTCCTGAGTAGCTAGGATTATAGGAGTGAACCATAGTTGTCCAGTGCCCTTTAATTTTTGTATAGGGTTTTGCTTTTTGCCTTGGCCAGCTTGCACTGCAATCCTACTATTTATAACTCCTGCATAACGAGGATGACAGGCACAAGCCAATTTGTATTGGCTAGATGGCTTCACATGGACATTTTGCTTGGGCTGGCCAGATACTACAATACATTCCTCTTGATTCCCAGTCTTCAAATGACTAAGATTATAGGCATGAGTCACAGCACTTTATGCTCAAGGCTAGCATTCCACCACTTAAAAAAATTTTTTTATTGTAAAGATGCTGTACAGAGGGGTTACAGTTACATGAGTAAGGTATTGAGTATATTTCTTGTTGAACTGGTGGTTAACTGGAGATAAGAGTCTCATGGACTTTCCTGCCTGGGCTAGCTTTGAATTGTGATCCTCAGATCTCAGCCTCCCGAGGAGCTAGGATTACAGATGTGACCCATTGGCACTCAGCTTGTATTCATTCTTATACCCTCCAAAATCATGATTTTGAACTTGTTTGAAAATGATCCTGTAACAATTCATTTGTTTAGTCAATCCCTACTTTCTCACCTTGGCTCTTAACAATTGATCCTTCTGTCACCGTCACCATAGGTTTATCCTTTCTAAAATTTCATATCAATGGAATATTTGTGTATTTTTTCGTGTAGACTTCTCTTACCTTGTCTTGAAATTCATCCATCTTCTTTTCATTGCTGTGTAATCTTCTATCATATGGACATATTTTAATTTGTTCATCCACATATGATGTTGGAGTTTGAGTTGTTTTCAATCTGAAACTGTTATGAAGAATATAGTTAAGGAAGTTCAAGTGTAAGTCTTTATATGGACATGCCTTTCTTTTGGGTAGATGCATTTCTCTTGGGTAAATATCAGTAGAACTGCTGTCCCCAAACTGTTTTGTTTTTGTTTCAGCTGGTTCTGGGGCTTGAACTCAGGGCCTGGCACTGTCCCTGAGCTTCTTTTACTCAAGGCTAAGCACTTTACCATTTGAGTTACAGGTTTACTTCTAGCTTTTTTGGTAATTTATTGCAGATCATAGATGCATACTACCACACAGGACCTGTGATGTATGAAATGGGGGTAGAATGGGGGGTAGGATTTTATTTTTACTTGTTTCATTAATGGCTAATTGGCCTTTCCTTGAAGTGTTTGTTCAAATCATTCCCTATTCTTATACTGGAGTTTTGAGATGTAATTATATATTTGCTTAATAAGTACCTCTGGGACTTTGATCATCTTAATATTTTTTTCCTTTGGCAGTATTGGGATTTGAACTCAGGGCCTTGTGCCTGTTAGGCAGGCACTCTACCACTGGGCTACACCTCCAGCCCTTTCTTTTCCTTATAAGTCAGGCTTTGTCATAAGAAACCATTGTCTAGTCGGGCGCTGGTTGGCTGATGATACCTATAATCCTAACTACTCAGGAGGTTGGGATCTGAGGACTGAAGTTCAAAGCTAGCCCAGGCAGTAAAGTCTGTGAGAATCTTTATCTCCAATAAACTACCCAGAAAAAGCCAGAAGAGGTGCTGTGGCTCAAGTAGTAGAACACTAGCTTTGAGTAAAAAGAAGTTCCAGGACTAACACACACACACACACGCACGCATGCACGCACGCATGCACGCACGCACGCACATGCACGCGCACATGATTTCCAGCACTGCTTGAAGCTGCATTGCTTGCAGTGTGAATTACCTTTGAATCTTTGTTGAAAATCAAGCGCCTATTTATATGGAGTTTGTTGTTGTTGTTTTGGGTTTTTTTTGGTCAGTCCTGGGGATTGAGCTCAAGGTTCTGGGCACTGTCCTTGAGCTTCTTTGTGCTCTACCACTTAAGCCACAACACCACATCCAGCTTTTTGTGTTTATGTGGTACTGAGGAACCTGAACGCTGGGCTTCATGAATGCAAGGCAAACACTCTGCCACTAAGCCACATTCCCAGCCCATACGTGGAGTGTTTTACTGACTCTCAGGACCACCCTGACGCCAAGAGCTCGTCATGGTTTCTGCAGCTTTACAGAATGTTGTCAGGAAGTGAAGTCCCAGTTTAGGTGCTCTGCATTTCCATACACATTTTCTCAACTTGCCAATGTCTACAGCAAGCATGTAAGCGGCCATCTTTCTCAGTGCAGTGAGAGACACACCTCCCTGCCTTGCAAAGCCCCAGGGGCGTCCTCACCCAGCTCCTCTTTCCTTGCCTGAGTCTTGCTGTCTCCACCTCCTCACACCATACAGGACACTACTCTTTGCTTGTCTTCTGTGACAGAAGCAGACACCGATATTCACATGCACTGTTTTACTGGAAAGTGAGGCTTCGCCAATTGTTTCACTGCTGTAACTGGTAATGCTCAGTGCATTCACTGGCCAGAGACAGCAGCTCAATATTTATTTTTATTTATGTATTTTGGTGCTGATACTGGGGGTTGAACCCAGGGCCTGGAGCTCTCCTTTAGCTTTTTCCTCTCCCAAAGCTGGTGCTCTACCATTTAGGCCACACCCACACTTCATGCATTTTGCTATTTAGTTGGAGATTAGGGTCAGGGCTGGCTTTGAATGGAGATTCTCAGATCTCCGTTGAGTAGGATTACAGGCAGGAATCACGGGTGCCTGCTAGCACTCAGTATCTGGTGACTGAATGAATATAAGCAGAAATATCTATCCGAGTATTAGGGCAAAATGATACTTGCATGAAATGATTCGTCATCTCAAGTAGGTCCCATTTAGTTCTTCAAGTGTACTCTCCACACTGATAAGACCTACCCGAGGCGGCAGTGTACAGCAGCACCATCCTCCAATAGAAAAATCAACAAAGTCATTACCCAGCAAAATGGTAAAAGATTAGGGAGAAAGAGTGACATTTTAACACATTACTAAAATTAAAAGTTTTTATTTACACTTCCCCTTCTCTCACACCCCCAGATTTAGGCCATTACAATGGAAAGAGGGCATCATCACAGCACTCCTTGCGGATTCCAGTTTACAGTAACTTGGTCAATGGAAAAATATGAACCAACAACAGAACATGGGTCAGTTCTCCCTGAGCACCGCTCCTTCTCCTCCCCTTTTCTCATTAACTGCTTTTAGACACAGAGGGATCATCAAGACCATGGGAATGCTGGGTGGACTGACACGGTGACTGATAGCTCTCACCAACCCCAACCACTCAGAAATGATCCTGGGATAACAAGGTTCAGGATGAAGACAAGTCACTACCACTCCACCTTAGTTGGTGGCATGCTCCATCTAGGACTTGTCTAGACTAAGCAACAAAGCTTTGCATAGGAAACCTGTCAACTGTGATGGAAAAGGCAGAGCGTGAGTGGAGTCTCCCCATGCATAGACGAACTCACTCAGCCAGACCTGCACCTGGAAGCACTTTGGGGCATGGCCCTTCTTTGTACCTTTCATTCAACCTGTCCATCATAGCTCCGACAGAACAGAGCTTCAGGTACGGCTTCACTAAGGACAGGAACTGCAGCATGAGAGTCACTGCATTCTTTACGGTCAGTTTGTTGTGATTCATCATACCAGAAAGAATAACAGTTGAAGGCCACTTATCATGTGTCCTATATCGTAAACAAAACTTTGTCCACAGCTCCATGTCAACCCAAGCCACCCTTGGGTGGACAGTGAATGTGAAGTATCCAGCTTCACCAAAGAAGACAAGAAGAATCACTTGTAGTGGATACTGGCTCCCTTTGATTCTCCCTTAGGAAAGACTCAATCTATGGCAAAAAACTGTGTAGAAAACAGAAGACACTGGAAACAACAAAAAGATTCATCGTAGAAGTAAAGCAAAGGGGTTTCGTATGTCTGCTGTGTGGTAGTGGTAGTGGTGAGCTAGGCTTCTGACTGGGCTATCTGGCTGGACACATAGCACTGGGCTAGCAGCCAGAGCCCACATTTCATGTGGATAAAGCAGAGGAGAAGAAGGGGCAAGCTTGTCCACATGAAGGGCATTTTGATTAGCCGGCTTACTGGATTAAGATGGCAGCTGGCTCTGAGCTTCTAGTTAAGCAGATAGCAGGGACCTATAAGTTCTGAGGCTGAAAAAAAATCTATAGATTCTCAGTTATAACCATTTTCATACTTCTTTCTTCACAATCTGGACCTGTGTGAAACACTCAACAGTTCTTAATCTTTCTAAGTCTAGGTAGTCAGAAAGGGAAAACTAAACTCTCTAACCATACAATTAATACAGATAGACATGAAAACCAACACCACTAGGAGTGGAAAGGCACCTTGAGATTTAGGTCATAGCAATGCAGCCCAGGCTGGCTATGAACTGAGGATCCAACTATCTCAGCCTCCTGAGTGCTGGAAATACAAGCAGACTCCACCACACCCGGCCCATAGCAATTCTTAACACCACAGAACAGTTGGCATTTAGGTTTTTCTAGGTAGTTTTGCTACAATGTTATAGATTCTTACAAAGTAAAAATTAGCTAGATTTTCTTCACTGATTTGAAAAAGAATAAAAATAGGGAAGTAGTAGAAGATATAATCATTTTTCAATTTCTCTAAGAAGAAAATCTCTCCAAGGAAGCTATTCTTCCTCTTGTTTTCCACTAGTATGTAGGAAGCAGAACATAATATACACTAGATAATTTAACTAGATGGTATCAGTTATGAGAAACTTAGATCCTGGACCCCCTTAATTAAAAAGGGAAGCAGTAAAGTTCTCTGAAATTTCTTACTGAAATGTATGGCTGATTGCAAAAGGAGAACCAGGCTGTCTGAGACAGTTATCTCCAACAAATGCCAGTTTTCTCTGGAGCTAGACTTGAAGAAAAAAACCACCCTCCCACCCCCTGCCTTGCCAAGAACTGCAAATTATAGCAAGGCCCAATGAAGAATGAAGGGATTGCAGAGACAAGTCACTGTGAGAATGCTCAACTTCTTGGTCTCTGAAAGGAGATTGGGGCAAACACAAAGACCTTAGTGTTTGTGTAACATGTCCCTGTTCATCTTCTGTGATTATATGTGACAGATAGGCAGGTGCTGGTGGCTCCCATGTGTAATCCTAGCTATACCAAAGGCTGAGATCTGAGGATCCTAGTTTGAAACCAGGCTGGGCAGAAGAGTCCAGATTTCAAAAATAACCAGCAAAAAGCTGGGCCAGAGGTATAGGTTAAGGAGTAGAGTGCCAGCTGAGCAAGCAAGACAAATAAGTGCAAGGTCTTGAGTTCAAACCCTGATTCAGAGCAGGGAGGAGGGAGGGAGTAACTTAAGGGTTCTGGAGACTTAAAGGGATTAAAAAAAATCAAAAGCAAAAAAAAAAAAAAGGTTGTAAAAAGTGCTACGCAGTCATCCTGCTAGGTAAAAGCTTTTAAAATAAAGATGGTGGGCTGGGAAGGTGGCTCAGTGGTAGAGTGCTTGCCTTGCATGCCTGAGGCCCTGGGTTTGATTCCTCAGCACCACATAAGCAAAAAGAAAAAAGCCGGAAGTGGCACTGTGGCTCAAGTGGTAGAACGCTAGCCTTGAGCTGAAGAGCTGAGGGACAGCGCCCAGGCCCAGAGTTCAGGCCCCACGACCAGACCCAAAAAATAAAAATAAAATAAAGATGGTTGGAGAAATTGCTCCTGATGCTTTATCTATGTCTTCTAGCTACACATTTCCTAGCTTCTGATGTGACCTATTGAAATAGGCTGGTAAGCCTGAAATGAGTAATAGCCATGCCAAATAAAAAAGGATGGAAGAAGCATAAGGATCAGTCACACCTCTACTGGCTGACTCCAATGATCAACCTTGGAAGGAATGGTTAATTGACACCTGCTTGAATCCCTTCAGGCTAGGAGTCAGGTCATTGTATACTCTGTACTAAACAGTCTTCCTATATCCTACCTTTCTCCTCACTCCCAGTGACTATACTTCTCTATGTGTGTATTTCCCCAAGATCTTAGACAAATGACGACATCTATGCTATAACTTGGACTCTAGGTTTAAATTCTAGTTCCAGGAATAGATAACTAGCCATGAATAATCTATACACAATATCTGGTCTTCTAGACAGTGCAGGAGTCCTGAATAGATGGTTGGAGTTTTGGCTCTTCAAAATAAATTTGAAACTTAACTATTTATCCTGAAATAACCACACCAACAATTAAGAGTTTAAAATGCCCATACTGGCAACTTAATTTGCAGTGACTTTATACAAACCATAATAAAAAGACTAGTAGGTATACCATAACTGCTTGGTAACTGCTTGTAGTCTGAATTTTACAAACCCCATCCCTACACTATTAAATAGTAACTACAGTGCCAAAGCAAGCTGGCATTGTAGTGGGTTGCAGGAGGGAACTGGATGTATGGGGCGGACCAGCGATGCCCTTGAGTTCACAGGACTTAGCACCACATGCTAAGCATAGTCTCTGTGTCTCTCTGTGGTTCTTTCATTTGCCTTTTCTGTTACTTAAAAAAATGATGAGTCAGGCGTTGGTGACTCACACCTGTAATCCTAGCTACTTAGGAGGCTGAGCTCTGAGGATCATGGTTCAAAGCCAGCTGGGGCAGCAAAGTCCATAAAACTCTTTTTTTTTTGGGGGGGGGGATCCGGTTGTGGGGCCTAAACTCTGGGCCTGGGCCCTGTCCCTCAGCTCTTCATCTCAAGGCTAGCGCTCTACCACTTGAGCCACAGCACCACTTCCGGCTTTTTTCTTTTTGCTTATGTGGTGTTGAGGAATCGAACCCAGGGCCTCATGCATGCAAAACAAGCACTCTACCACTGAGCTACCTTCCCAGCCCCCCATAAAACTCTTATCTCCAATTAATCACCAGAAAACTGGAAGTGGTGCTATGGCTCAAAGCACTAGATTCTAGTTTTGAGCAAAAGAGCTCAGGGACAGCATCCAGGTCCTGAGTTCAAGCCCCACAACTAACAACAGCAGCAAAGGAAAAGGTATGAAATCTATGACTATCTCAAGGGCTTAGAGCTTTGAGATGCTGAGAGTGACCATGGAGAACTGATATGCAGACAATGAAAAGAAAACTTTACACAAAGAGCTGTACTGCACATGCCTGCACTAATGTAGACATGATGCCCAGGAGGATCTGAATTGGGAATCTTCACCAACCAAAAGAACAATTTCAGAAGACAGACACACGTGTAAAACCACTTCCAAACAGTCCTTTCATTCTGCTCCTAGCCCTGCCCCTATAATACTTGATAGTTACTAAAAAGGCAAGTTGCTCTTGGATACAATAATGCCAAAAGTTCTCTTCATTTAAGCTTTGGTGAAAAGGAAAACCAAGAATTTAAAATGGTAATCTTCAAATACGTTCTTTGGTCAAGCAATATAAAGCATTGTGAATAAGTTCCTTTACCATGAAAACAGAGTCAAAACAGAAGAGATTCCAGTTTAAGGGGGAGATAGGTGACCAGAATTTTTCACAAAGAAATGTATGTCTGTCTATATATACAAATATGTATGTACACATGTATGTATACTAGAAACATGTAGAGAACCGTGGTCCAGATGTCAGGTTACAATGGTCTTAGGACATCAAGAATAGAAGAATTAGCATTCAGAAGAGTACTGTGAGTGAGCTTCCCAAGGGCTGTTAGTAACTTTAATCCTGAAAATAGGAACATAAGTGATTTATGAGCCAACTGACAGACATTCTCCTTTGTCAGGTTAAATCTTAAATCTGGACCCAGCCAGAGAATGTCATTAAGAAAGAAACCCAACCATAGACATTCTCCCCAGTGCCCTGCCCCTCACCCTAGGACAGCCTGTTACCTACAGAGTGGCTTTAACCCTGAATGATAACTCTGGAAGGTGAGCTATCTGACCAGGGTAGGATTTGGTGCTTTTAAATGCGTAAGTTTTAAGTAGGAAGCAGGAGGTATCTGGGTTGTAGTTTGGGACAAGCCTAGACTTTGTGTCTATAAAGTACGTGACAGTGAAGGAAGAAATTATTTTGTGACAGAACAAAACATGAAGTAAGACCAAAGTCTTGGGAGGTCCCTGGCCCAGGAGTTACACCAGTCTTTTAGCATTGCTACCCCTTTACCGCTTTTCTTAAAGGCTAACTAACATAAGAGTACAGGGGGGAAAAAAGTACTTTGGCTGATTACTTGACTGGTTAAGGAAGGATTCCAGGCCAGGCAGCCTTGAGCCCTGAGGCGGGTGGAGGGACAGGAAGCAGAAGGCACTTGCTCCCTAGGAAGAGGGCCAGGGCCAGCAGTGGGTCCTGACAAGCCCGCCCACGCGGTGTCTGGAGTGGGGACTGCCTGTGCACTTAGCCAAACAGGCTGGGGTCAGGGTGAGTTCACAAGTAGAATGATTATAAAATAAAATCGTTTTAATGGCCAAAGTCACCTCTTTTTTTTTTTTTTTAAGGTGAGAATCAGCAAAGGAAGGGTGTGAAGCAGTTGGGATTTGTGTGTTTTTTTCTTTTGTTTTTTTTTTTTGTTTGTTTTGTTTTACTATTTACAAAACGCCATTAGAGTGGAGGCGGCCACCTTCAGTAGTTGAGGAAATGTCCTTCATGTGAGGTGGTCGTGGAAGTGTGATCCTGGAACTGGCTCAGAAAGGCCACACACTGTCCGGGTTGGGAAAGTCCCTTCAGGGAGCACCAGAAAGGCTCAGTCTTCTGTCTCCTCATACGTAGTCTCGTCAAAGGGCCGGTCTAGAAGAGGCACCAACCGATGACGGGAATACTTCAGCTGCAGCAGGTCCCCAACTTCATCTATCTCCTTTAAAGCCTAAAATGTAGGAGGCAAGACAGAGGTCACTCTGGGCTGCCTGATGCTTTATTGGGTTCAAACTTTTTTAGCCAGGTCATTTGTTGGTGTCATGTACTCAGATCAGACTTCATGCAGGTGTAGAAAATGCTGCTTCTGTCCAAAGCTGCAGGCCAGTCAAGACTAATGGGTTGTATCAGTAGTCAGGATGCAGGATAAAGGGTCTAATTTATCAAAGTAAAAGGGAAGATGCTGCCTAAGTGTGGCTCCCCAAGTCTCCCTAACATTGCACAGACTTGTTCAATCTTGCCAGGCACTAATGGCTCACTCATATAATCCTAGGTGCTTGGGAGGCAGACAGTGTAGGGATCATGGTTCTAGGCTACCATAAGCAGAAAAAAGTTTATGAGACTCTATCTTAAAAATGAACCGCAAGGGCTGGGAAGGTGGTTCAGTGGTAGAGCGCTTGCCTTGCATGCCTGAGGCCCTGGGTTCGATTCCTCAGCACCACATAAGCAAAAAGAAAAAAAGCCGGAAGT